GGATTAATTTAATTTATTTCTAAATTTTTTTATTTTATTTAAATAAAAATATTTTAATAAATAAATTTAATAAATATAACCAAGTAAATATTTCTTGGTTTAATTTCTTTATTTATATTAGTTTTTTAATTTTTTTAAATTTTATTTTTAAATATTATAAATAATATTTTATTTATTTATTCACGGACATGATGCGCAGATTTTTTCATTATTTGCATGAATAATTTAAAAGGACAAAGAGAGTTGGCACTGTCATGTCATCCACCTCGAGGCCGGTGCACGACTTCTTATGATCTTCAAGTCTACTTTGCCAATAATTTAATAGAGAGATAATTACTTTATATCAATAATGAGATCCACGCTCACAGCCTGAAATCTTAAAAGGCTCAAGTGCCGGAAATCTTAGCGGAGAGATGATTGCTTTTAATCGTAGTTAGCATCCACTGTCTTATCCTTTTGCTTTCCTCGAGGTGGCCATATCCTGCAAAATTTCTTAAAAAAAAAAGAATATTGGGACATGGCAGAGGTGCGGCCGCCATGTATCCAGTTTCTATATGCTTTTCTCGCTGCTTAAATGATTGAGAGATTTTGTACCCTAAAAAATAAAAATGGCAGAGAGATTAGCTTAAAAAATGGCTCAGGGTTCATGATTGATTGTAGACTGTGATGTAAATCCATTCAGAGGACAAGAAGGGTGTTTTTCTTTAATCAGTTCTGAAGTTTCGAAGATCCCACTATTTTGTCCTGACAATTATTGATATTGTTTTTCCTAGCAAAGAAGACGAATCAAGGCTGAATAATAAAACCCACCGTAAATAAATAAATCCATTTCCAAATTAAGATGGGTAAATAATTGAGGCTTTGTAAATCGACCAAGACTGTTTTTTCTATATTAAATATTATTTTGATTAGAATAATTCAACAATCTTAGTGTAATAATTTCTTATTAAAAAAATTATTGACCTCTAAAGAAAAAATTATTAAAATTTCATGCACAACATTCCAGCGAGAGGTTGTAATT